CCTCGCTCTGCACCGCATTTGCCAGCCCAGCCCCCGAGTTAGCGCGCGACCGGGGCGGGGCGGGCGGCGAGGGCGGGGTGTAGGGGGCGGGGGAGGGCGGGGGCGCGCGGAGGTAACCCCCGGCTCGCGCTGCCATTGCCCGGCTCCCTGTCACTCAGACCGCGCAGGGCCCCCGATTGGCGCCTAACCCCGTTACGCACTCGCCTCGCGTTCACATACCCGGGGAGGGCAGTAGAAAGGTGATCAATCTTCATCAGGCTACATTTCCAATCACCTAAACAACCGAGCAAGACAAGCCACTCCGACAAGGTAAATCGCTTGATTTATTTAGTTTGCAAAGTGACTCTGCAGGGCTTCCCTAGTCCTCACCGCCTCCACGTTGCACCCGGAGTGCAGCGGCAACGGCGAGCCACCTCCCAACTCTGCTCCTCGTATCCCCCCCTCTTCCTCGGGACCCCTCGGCTCGGTCCCGGACGAGGCAATGTCCTGGGAGCGTGTGGGGCTTTACAAAAAAAGTGTCTGTGCAATAAAGTGAAACCTGTAGAGACATGCACAAAGCCACTGGAAAAAAGAAAGATGGGTGGAAGGAAGTTGGGGAAAGAAAGACTCGGGGGTCCTAGACCAGCCGCCTGGGTAATTCCTGTGTAGCTCTGTTTTGCAGGTTGGCTGCCCGGCGGGTCTCAGTGAGGGCGCGAGGTAGATGGTGAGCGGCCCTGGCAGCTGAGGGCAGGTAAGGAGAAAGCCGCGAGGCCGCCCTGGACTCCGGGAGCGCGTTGGTTACTCTGCCTCCCCCTTTTCAAACGGATCCCCGCTGCCCAGGTCCCCACCAGGTGGGCGGGTCTGGGGGAGCGGCCTGGTTCCCCTCTTGGTGCACGGAGGACCCCAGAGCGCTGCTGCGGCCGCGCGCCCCCTCCCCCGCCTCCTCCGAAGTAATCGAGCTGAAGTGCTAAGTTTGGAGAAAAGTCTTTGAAAACTCACTCTGCAGCCTAGTAGAACAACCGCGGCTGGAGTCCCATTTTCCTTCAGCCCACGAGCCCTGGCTGTTTCCCTTTTCGTCCCCTTAACTGCAAGCTGGGCTCCCCCAGCCCAGGCCTTGTGTCCCTGAGGATCGGAGCAAGAGCGGGGGTGGAGGGTGCTACTTTAACTTCTCTTCCTGAATTCCCTAGCCCGAGTTCCTGGCCAGTTTAGAGAGTTCCCGCGAAGCGGGGTGTAACGACAGACCCTCCGGGTCCCAAATCCCACTCCCCAGTGCCCTATCCTGACCCTTGAGAGTAGCTCCTCGAGTTCGCGGTAGCTGCAGAAGCGAGGTTTCCACCTTCCTGCTAGGGTCTGTGTGGGCTATGCCGCTGAGGCCTGGTTCTACATTCTCGATCCGGTCTTGGGACCTTGGATTCAGCTAGTAGATGGCAGGGAGCGCACGTGACCTGCTGCACTCAGGCTTCCCAAATTCCCGAGACCCTCTGGAGCGCTGGGCCGGTCACCCTCCACCCCTGCCGGCATCCAGTTGCCCGCAGCTGGGAAGGGGCAGAAAGAAGGCCCGGCCTGCGCGGGCGAAGAAGGGCCAGAGCCGCGCTGAAGCGCCCCTGATCTCCAGCCGCACCTGGGAACTTCCACTTCTACAGTGGCCCCTACAGCGTCCTCTGGCCTCCTCAGCGGTGCCTGGGCCCGTAACTGCGGTTGAGGTGTGGTGGGATTCCGGGTGAGCGATCTTTCAATGGCTGGGCGCAGAGAGATCAGCTGGGAACAGATGGTGATTGCGAGCTCTGGGGCAGGGACGCAGCCGTGGAGACCTTTGAAGGAACCGACCCTTCTAAATGGGCAATGCGTCCTAAAGAGGCCGAAGTACAGTTTGCCCTCCTTGCCTTACTTTGGCCCTCTGTATCTCTACCTTTTCATCCCGCTTTCAAAAGCATTTGAAACGAAACGAAACAGCCCTTCCTGATCTGGACGGCCTACCGTCTGGGCCCCAAGTGAACATTTGTTTGTGCAACATGAAGCCGGCTTCCGCCGGACTCAAAATTTTGCCTAGACTTGGGATTTTGCACAGTCCGCGGTTCGGGATCTGACCTTCCTAGCCCGGCCCGGTTTTTAACCTCACTTCACTCCTTTGAGCACCTTACGAGAGTCTTTAGCCCATTCCAAGCCCGAAAATAGGCAACGACGATCCAGAAAAGTTTACCTTTCAAAGAAACTGTGGTCTCTGAGCTAAGGCCTTGTGGAGCCTAGTTGACCGCCCTGCGCAGTTCCATAACCTGCGCCCCCTCCCCATCCGGGGGCTACTCGCCTAGGACAAGAACTGGAAGCCTAGCTGGCTCCGAGTGATGGTTTCCATGTTTCTCGTATCTCCATAGGCCAGGCCCCCGGGCGCAACAGAGCTTGAAGGACCGCAAGGTGGGAGCCCTGCACCGCTCTTGGCTCCAGGCCCCCTGGATCCGTCGGGGCGCCTCCACCCGGCTGTTAGCATGATGTCTTACCTCAAACAACCCCCATACAGCATGAACGGGCTGGGCCTGGCTGGGCCCGCTATGGACCTCCTGCACCCCTCTGTGGGCTATCCGGGTGAGCACCGGCACTCCCACCCCTCCCCCAGCTTCTGCAAATGTTGGGGATCCCAGCCTCTCGTTTTTTGAGCGCACGCTTTGTCGCGGAGCAGGCCCAGGAAGCCGGTTGCCTAGTCTGCTTACAGTGCAGGGCTTGTTGCAGGGGCACGGGGCAGAGTCACGGGTTGGTGAGGTGCCAGGGCGGCGAAAACGTGCAACGTTCGCCTTCCCTGCCGAGCCACACCGGCAACCTGTCTCCTGTTGTGGTCCCACAGCCATTGCAGAGCTTATTTATCCACGGATTCGTTTCCCACAGGCGGCTATTGTTTTTTGTGAATCTGTTCCTTCCCCCCCAGCATTGAACAAGGAATCTGGACAGTGGGTAGGCCCTGACATAAAGAGGCAAACTTCCCTTATGTGAAGCGGCGGCTGGACTGAAGAGTGGGATTCTTTCTCCCTAATTAAGTTGTCCTCTAGACCCGTGGCCTGCAGCAACTTTTGCAATGCTGTAGTGGACGACTTGTGCTGAACCCTGAGTTTTGTTTCTAGCTCCCTCCACTTTACTCCCATTTATTCCCTCGGAAAGTGTTTTCCAGGTTCTGTTTCTGTGCACCCTTTCCCCACTTTTTATCCTTCAGGCAGGAAGTGTATTGGGGTGAGGGGGGAATGTTGATGTGGAGGGAGATTGACCTCGCTTCCTTTTTTAACTTCTGAGAGGCAGGGAGCGGGGGTAGCCCTGGAGTTTTGGAGACACTGGCTCCTGGTCGTGTAAATGTACTTTCGCCCACCTGTGGCCTCTCAGGCTCGGCCCCGGGGGAAGTTCTTTTGCTCGGTGCTCGGCTTCCTCTTGTGACTGCTCGGCTCTGGGCCTGCCAAGGGCCTGCCCGAGTGCTCTAGCGCCGGTCCGCGTGGTCACAGCTGACCCGAGGCGCCCCCGCGTGTCCCCGCAGCCACCCCGCGGAAGCAGCGACGCGAGCGCACCACCTTCACGCGCTCACAGCTGGACGTCCTCGAGGCGCTCTTCGCTAAGACTCGCTACCCTGACATCTTCATGCGCGAGGAGGTGGCGCTCAAGATCAACCTGCCAGAGTCCAGAGTCCAGGTGCGCTCTCCTGGGGCTCCAGCGTCAGGGTAGAGGCTCTGGGGCTGGTCTGGGAAGGGCGGTCTGGTGTGGGGGCAGGTTGCAGACTGGGCAGCCCCTCTAGATCTCCCCCTAGCGCTGGGCCTGGGTCAGGAAAAGGGGACAAAGTTAAAGGAAAGGGCTTAGAGTCCTGGATCTGGCCCTTCGCCCTGGGGCGCCTTCAGTGTCGAAAATCCTTTTTGGGATTTTGGGAGGACGAGCAGAGCTCCCGAATGTAAAGTGCTCTGAGGGCCCAACACTTGTCGCTACTTCTTCCGCCGCCCCAGGACGTGGCAATTTCCCTCGGAGGTCTGAATTCCGTCTCACCCTTGCCTTGCATCCCGGGGATCCTGGCGATGGAAGAGTGGAGCGTGGCTGCAGCCTGGTGCTGTCTGGGAGTTCGCTCCATGGGTGGCGCCGGTCTGATTTAGATGCTTCCTCGGCCGGGAGGGGACGCCGAGCGCAAAACCTGGTTGCCGGCTTTGCTATTTGTTTTTGAGATAAAAGGGATCTGAAAATACTGTTCTAATTCTAACCCAGGACCCTCTTCATGGGCCTTTTGTCTCGCCTTCTTTCTTCGAAGGCTCGAGAAAGGATCAAGGATGCATTGCCCTGTGCCGTGGCCCTCCAGGAGGAGTGAGAACTTTATGACTGACCGCCCCACTTAGTTCCCCACTTGGAGCCAAAAATCCCAACGAAGAATCTCGGCTCCCTTCTCGAGCCCCCCGAGTACTCGAGTACTTCCTCTGTTCAGCCTTAGGCCTTGCGCCTGCTCCCACCCATACACTCGCCCTGCAAGCTTGGGCCTCCAGGAGCCGACTCCGGCCCCAGACTTGGTGACTGTTCCTCAGTCTGCGGCTCGGTTACCACTCCGCGGTTTCCTGAGCTCTGTTAAAAACAAAACAAAACAAACAAACAAACAAAACCATAGGGCCCTCGAACTTACATGGGGCCGTGGGGGAGCGGCCAACAGGAGCAATTTAAAAATGGCTGAGCTGGCTAGATAGACGCAAACGTTCCGCTCTAGGACAGAGTTGCGCTAGGGGTGGGGAGGTGCGCGTCCTTACTCTGGAGCCAGCTAAGGAGGGGCTCTGAGCAGAAAGATGGGGGAGGGTGGAGCAGCTGGGAACAGAGGTGGGGGGGCAGGGTCTGGCGGGGCCGGACTGGGAGGGGCGGAGGCCTCGGTCGGAGAGGGATTCGAGATCCTGGGCGGGGTGGTGGGTCCAAGGGGCAGGGGAGCAGCAGGCTCCACTCGCCCCCCCTGATCCGCTCTGCCCCATCCGGCCCGCTGCAGGTCTGGTTCAAGAACCGCCGCGCCAAATGCCGCCAGCAGCAGCAGAGCGGGAGCGGAACCAAGAGCCGCCCAGCCAAGAAGAAGTCGTCTCCAGTGAGGGAGAGCTCGGGCTCCGAAAGCAGCGGCCAATTCACGCCGCCCGCTGTGTCCAGCTCCGCTTCATCTTCTAGCTCGGCGTCCAGCGCCTCCGCCAACCCGGCGGCTGCAGCGGCTGCGGGCCTGGGGGGGAACCCGGCGGTGGCAGCCGGGTCGTCGCTGAGCACGCCGGCTGCTTCCTCCATCTGGAGCCCGGCCTCCATCTCGCCCGGCTCAGCGCCCGCGTCCGTGTCACTGCCCGAGCCACTGGCCGCTCCTAGCAACGCCTCGTGTATGCAGCGCTCGGTAGCCGCAGGCGCCGCCACGGCAGCAGCCTCTTACCCTATGTCCTACGGCCAGGGCGGTAGCTACGGCCAGGGCTACCCCGCGCCCTCCTCTTCCTACTTTGGCGGCGTGGACTGCAGCTCGTACCTAGCGCCCATGCACTCGCATCACCATCCGCACCAGCTCAGCCCCATGGCACCCTCCTCCATGGCCGGCCACCATCACCACCACCCACACGCGCACCACCCGTTGAGCCAGTCCTCAGGCCACCACCACCACCACCATCACCACCACCACCACCAAGGCTACGGTGGCTCGGGGCTTGCCTTCAACTCTGCCGACTGCTTGGATTACAAGGAGCCTGGAGCGGCCGCTGCTTCCTCCGCCTGGAAACTCAACTTCAACTCGCCCGACTGTCTGGACTATAAGGACCAAACCTCTTGGCGGTTCCAGGTCTTGTGAGCCCAGGAGTGAGAGGAAGAGGAGAAGAAACGTAACTACCTGCTCCCTCCGTGGTCCCCATCCTGTTGTTGCTGCTGCATCGCCCGCCTTTGCCTCGGCTTCTCCAAAACTGAATTTTCACATCCCCAAAAGATGCCCATTGCCCGCACTGTCGCCCCTATCTTTAAGCCACTTGCTTGGGGATGTGTAAACCCGCCTATCCCTTGGATGAGGGGTATTGGTGCCTCGCTGTGGCCCACATGTCCTATACGAGAGAGCTGTGTGTTCTCCCTATCAACCCCCACCTACCTTCCAAGTCACCCCTTCTAGTCCTTCTGGACAGCTGTTATGCACTTGCAGCCTTCGGAGGCTCTTCGCTCTGACCCGCTGTTTGAACCCAACACTTTTATTTATTCTTTCTGGGCACTGGAGTCACTAATTGGCGTGTTTCTGCCCATTGGAGTGCACCCACATAGTACTCCAAATCAAAACAACCACTAAGTGTTTCTCCTGCACAGACTGCCGCCCCTTCAGCTGCCCGCGATCCCGCTCCCCGCCTGCAGACCGGAGTACCCCGGCGTTTCCTCCTCCTCAGCGGGGTGCGCCGGGGTGAGCTGAAGCACGGCCCGGCCTCCCTGCGCTGGACTGGTTCAAGCTTCCGCCTCGGCGGGAATGCTGTATATAGTCGGGTCCGTTCCGGGGACCACTTAAACTTTTTAGTTGCTGTTAGTTGAACTGAACAGATCTCGTCGTAGCGCCCAGGAAACAGAACTTTAAGATATATACAGCACATATATATATATATACATATATATATAAAACAAATGCAAAAAATAATTTCTCTCTGTCCCCTTTCCTGTCTTCCTCAAACAATGGCGCTTTTTCTTTTTCAGTTGTTACAATGTCCTGCCCTCTTCATATCTTCTCCCTCTGTGTATTTATTAAAGAGAACCGCTTGGGTCCAGGAAGCTGGGCGCGGAAGATCAGGAGTGTGGAGGGAACAGCCAAGTCAGGGTGCAAGGGTGGGAGCTAGGCTGGGCGGGGGCGCGGGACTTGACTGAGTCCCTCACCCGGCCTAAGCACACGGTCGCAGTTCTGGTATACAGACCCCAAAACAAAAGAAAACCAAAAAAAAAAAAAAAAAGCAAAAATTCAGCATTATGGAAAAAACAAACAAACCCAGACCCCAAACCTCAGTTCCAATTCCTCTGTCGGTTTTTCTCTCTTTAAACATCATCGTTTTGTCTAGTGAGTTTTTAGTGCACCTTCATTCTCCGAAATCTGTGGAGTCCCCGCGCGCCTGTGTATCAATTTTGGCTTTGGCCGCTTCGTCCAGTAGGTGGGAAAGTAATTTGTAAATTTGATTTGTCCGATGTGAAGATCACAAATTACTTGTTGAAATGTAAGGCAGTCCCTCTCCTCCTCTTTATCTACATTATTTCCCGAAAATAAATGCAAATTAATGAACAGCTTGTCAGTGTTGCTCTTCTGTTTCCAGCCCCAGGTCCCGTTCTTCCGGGAACTGAAAGACAGGAAAACTCCGTGTTAATAACCCTGCGTGTTAGTGACCTGCATGAAGCTGGAGGCCAAAGAATGGGGCGGGAGGACGTGGCAAGAGGAGCCCCCAGAAACTTTCTTTTAGGGAGTGCCCGCCTCCGCTTTGGCCTGGCCTCTTCCCCCAGGCGTTTTGACCCCGTATCCCCCTCGCTATCCTGGACAGAGACAGGTGTCAGGACTCAATTCCCGAAGCAATTCCTTTCTCTTCAGAGGCAAGAGCCTGGCACTGATTTCTTCACCCTAATTGCCTGCACCAGAAAGAAGAGGGGGAGGGGAAGAGGGTCGGGAGGCGGGAAAGGATAGCTCTGTAATGTTCTCAGAGCTGAGCCAAAAAGGAAAAGAAAACAAAACGACCAAAAAAAAAAAAGAAAAAAGAAAAAAAAAAGAAAACCATGTCCTGCATGTTGGCAGCAGACAACCTTCCTTTCTGCTGAGCTGTCCCGCGTGGCTTCACTGTGGCAGGGGGATCCGAGTCATTCCTTCCACGTGCTAAGATGTCCCTCTAAACCCTCAGCCCCCGCCAGAGTACCCAAATTGTCTTTGTTCATATTGTAAAGTTTCTTTAACCGCTTCTCGGCCTTTTGGCTAAGATCGAGTGTTGTAAAGTTTCTTTAAACGTACAAACCAAAACCTGGAAAAATAGACAAGAATGTGTTTCACTTTGGCAGAGGAAGCAGCAGCCCGGCTTGCAGCTGGGGGTCGAGAAGAACGGTTTCATCCCCCTCTGAGGGAAGAGGGAGTGGGGGCGGGGGGGGGGGCTCCCCCAGAAAATCCGGAGCCCGGACCTGTCCAGACTCTATTTGGCCTGAAACCTCCTGGGTGTAAGGCCGAAAGCTGCTCAACTTGTCTACGGACAGGAAGGAAATAAGGAAACAACGAAAAGTTTCCTGCGAAGCGATCAACACCTCCTGTTCTTTCTATTCCGTGTGAGACCTGAGAACACGTCATGAGGCCGGGTTCGGGGAGCGACCCCTCCCCTGGGGTCCTGCGCCCGGCGAGGTCGCAGAGCTGCGAGCCCTGGCTGTAGAAAAGCCTTCTCGGCCGCGTCTTCCTCCGGATTCGGCAAGCCCGGCTCTGGCCCACGCTTCCCACGCTGACGATTCGATCATCCCCGACTCCGCACAGGCCCTCTCAGGAGGGCGCAGCCCCGGCCCCGCAGCCTGGCCCAGCGGCGCCGCCCCCGGCACGCGGGCCCTGAAGGCAGGGCGGGCTCGAGTCCGCTCAGGCTCCCCCTGAGGCGGCGCCTCCAGTGGAACGTCCGAGCTGCCGTGGCCCCCTGGGCGTCTCCCTCCAGCAGACCCTGCCTGTCCCGCCTCAGGGCCGCTGTGGTTCACGCAGCAGCTGCCAGTGCCGCTCGAGGCCCAGGTGCTGAGTCGCCTCCACCCGCAGCTCCCTCAGGCGGGTTCTGTGGGGACCAGCGGTCCTCTTGGCTGCTCCGTGGAACGAAACCAGGAGACCCGGCTTTCCATTAGCTCGTACAACCGTGTGGTCTTCGGTGCAAGGTACCCAAAGCCCTGGGCCTCGATTCCGTCGCGGTGTTATTTGGCCTCCCTCAGCCCGAGACGTTCCTGAAACTTCACACTTTAGGCCTAGGCTGTGGGCGGGAGGGTCAGACGCGACCCGCTGGCCCCGCCGCTCGGTGGCGTCTAGAAGCTTCGGCGCCTGCGTACTCAGGCAGGAGGGGGTACCGGCGGCCAAGCGCGTGGAGGCCAGGCCGGAGTTCCCGCCCCGGGTCGAGGCTTCGAGAAGGGGCACGTGCTCCTCCCAGGGCCTCCTGGCTTGTGCTGAGGCCCCACGGAACTGAGTGGTAACCAGGAGCGGGAAGCGGCGGCGCCACCTCAGGCCGCCAGGACGCTGGAGCCTGGGGGAGCGGGGTGAGTGCGCAGCCGGGCCCAGAGCGGAGGGGGCGGCCACAGGTGGCGTGGCCGGCCGGGGCAGGGTGAGGGCGCCCGCGCTGGCAGAGAGTCCTTGCGCGGTGGCGGCAGAAACGCAGAAGGTCCTTCCCGGGCCGGCCACCTGTTAACAGGCAGGTTCTCTGAGAACCGCGCTCAACTCGCCCTTCTCTTGAGGGAGGAAGTGTGTTCTCTTTGGGTGTTGGAGTTTGCGACAGAATTGAAGCAACTGGAACTGAACTAGAACTTTAGGAGATTTAATAACCTCAGAAATCGTAGCTACCTTAAGACGTGAACAGTTTTCTTTGAGTGTTCAACGAAATCTTCACGTTTTCTACTCACAGCTGGTGTTCTCTGCGCATACTGTAGGGGGAAAGAAGTCTACCCTTAGATGAACGTGTGTGAGGTGCTTTAGGGGTAAAGAATGGGTCTCATTTTTAGAGATTGTTTTTTAATCTTAAAACTATCTCAGGGGCACTGCATTAATTGGCTGAAGCTCTGAAAAGATTCGGTGAAGTAACCTTGTTTGTTGAGGAGCTTTTCTTAATCTTTTGTACCAGCTACTGAGGGTATAAATTTCCTCTAAATTATGATTTTTTTTTTTTGAGGAAAAAACCCTTAAAGCCTTAGGGTATTGAGCGTGAGGGAGAAGGCTGATCGAGAGGAAAAACAGGTAAAAACGGTTAAGACACAATGTCGGCAAATTCAAGTTCGCTATATTACAGAGACCAAAAAAGTGAGTGTTTTTATTTCTTGTGTCAAAAGGAAATTAGTGATTTTTTCTGCAAAATAGCAGTTTCCCCAGCTGAGTTGTGATTTTTTTCAATTGTGAAAATAAGAGATAAATTCCACTTTGGCAGATTAATTAATGTTAATTATGTCATTAGTGTTTGATGACAAGCAGTAAGGTTTTCTTTAGCAGTACAGAAAGAAAATGTATCTGATATATAAATGAAGTTAATATATACATTATTGGTAAAGAGAATCTGTATCATTAGTATTCAGGACCAAAAAATCACTTGGCTTCTGATGCAGAATTAATTTGAGAACAGCAAAAAAAAAAAAAAATCTTCATAAAATTCCCTAATTAAAAACAGAACAAGTTCTCAAGAAGTTATTCTATATTTTTCACACTTTCCCTTCCCCAATGCATTTTAATGTCTAAAATGGAGATGAAAAAAATCTCGAGTTTAAGAAATATTTATATTCAACAATACTTTAATTAAAAACCCAACTTAAAAATGAATAGTAAATAACAATGTATTGCTTATATAACAACGAGAAAACATCTCCATTATCTTAAAGAATCAGTTTAAATAAATGTTTGGGTTTCTACTGTACTTTTCGAAAACCAGAAGCTTTTTTGGCTGTGTTTAATAGATGGTTCCTGAAACAACAATTACGCCTCTTAATCATCCTGTTCATATTTAGGAGTATCTGAAAAAAAGTGGATTTTTTCTGTGGAGGAGGGGAAACATGCCATTTTGGTCTAATGATTCTTTAATCATGTTTTAAAACTGAGTTGGATTTTACTTAAACCACGTTAGGTGCAGTTTTTCAAAAATTTTTTAAAAATGAAAAATATTTGCCAAAAACCTTCAGTAATTTAGGGAGAATTGCAGTTACACAACATAGCCAAAGTTGAAATTGCTTTTAAATATATCCAGTTTTTCTTAGGAAAAAGGTAAAGCAAAAAAGTGTATGGTATGCTTGAAACTAAAATGTGTATCATTCTAATTTATGGAATTGTGCATTTATGTTTCTAGGACTATTCCTTGAAAGATAAGAGTATGCTTAAAATATTTTAGTGTTCTTTCTAATCAAATAGGACTTAGTTAGGCTCCTTTTAGTCAATGACGACCCATCAATACTTAAACATTGAAAATCTGTTGTGTTCCTAAAAATTGTGCTTCTTTTACCCCCTTTGGATCCTTTACTTGGTGGCTTATATATTCAAAGGGAAAAAAATTACATTCCATTCCAAAGGTCACAAATACTTTTTTAAAAAGGTTAATCTTTATTGAACAGCTTATAAAAACTATTTTAGAAAATTTTAGAAAATCTTTTAAAGTAGATTGTAAAGTTAGGATTTAACAAACGAGTCAAAAGTTTTTGGGGATTGAAGTGGAGTATAAATAAATCATAACTAATTTTGATACTTGGGGTAAAAATTAAAATGTAAGAATAAGTGGCTTCTGATTCAACAGCTTGGTGTCTAAAGAGCTTATAAAATATTTTTAGTATACAAATATTCTTATGTATGTTCAAAGCTCTAAATGCTTAAAGATATACCATCATCTGTCATAGCTATTTCAATATAGGAATCATACTTTCTTTTTAAAATTTATTTTTAAAAAGTTTACTGTGAAATATACATTACAAAAGAAACTATAAAACAGATTCATACACTTTAGAGAAAAATAAAATATACATGGAGCAGCAAATTTTTAACAAATACTTAGAAAAGTAGATTTGCAATTGGTTACAATGTCAGTGTTTAAATTTGATGTTACATAAAATATATCTACTTACTTTCTCAGGATTTTGTTAAATCCTTTAGAGTAGTAACAATTACTATATGGAGACACCTTTTTAAGGGACAAAAATACTTTAAATCATAGGGTATAAAAGTTTTATAGGTCTTTGTAAATTTATAGGGTCTCTTTTTTGATGGAAGAAATGAGCTTTATGTCTATTTATGTTTTTAATGAAAGAACACCAAGAGAAACTATCTTCTTCCTTCCCAAGCTTGGATATTTAATGTCATCCAAAGCAATAGCTTTAAATCTTAGGGGTTTTTTTTTTTTTTTTTTTTTTTTTTTGCTAGTGACTCTCAAATACATATTTCTAGCACAGAGCTCTCTGTTAGACTTCTTATACCTATACATCCACTGAAAAGAGGCGATTGGATTTTAGCCCTTAGGAAGTTAATGATACCATGTCTGGGACTTGCTTCAAAATTATTGAGAGGGAGTGGATCATGTATATATGAAACAATATTAGCCATGAGTTGATAAT